ACACACACACACACACGCACGCACAATCCTGTACTCTTTCATTCTCATCTCACATCCTTTTCCAACTCTGTCTATTTCATCACTAAATTAAACATAAAATATCTTCTAATACAGGGTGCTCACTATGGCTGGATCGGGCCGATCGCCCGACTCGATCGCCTGAAACTAAAAACAAACACGTTTGTTTTTGAGGCGACCGAGTCGGGCGATCGACCAATCCCATCCGTAGTGGTAACCCCGTATAACAAAATGCGACAAGATCCAACTGCTCTACCACAAACTACAATGACGTCTTTGACTCACCGACGAATGACTGCGCTTTGCTGACTCCTTCCGCTAGCCACAGCAGAAGTCCTCGTGCTGGCAATAGACATGCTGAAGCGATAGGCACGAACAAACGCTTTTCCTTTCACACATGCGCAGACTGCGACTTTGAAGGACTGACGGAAGTTCTTGGACAGGAAGGCGTAAACAATGGGGTTGACACAGCTGTAAGAAAGACCCCAAAAAGTAATACATATATACATATATTATATATATATATAATTAATAAATTATACGTATAATATATATTTCTTAAAATGGTGAAATGGTATCGGTTTAACGCCCCTATCAACACTAATAGGTTACTTAAAAGGCAGGACCTCCGAATTGAACGTCAACCTCCGAAAAGACCGAGCCAAACAGGAAGTTCGTGTAAAGTGTCTTCCTCAATGACATGCCGTCAGGCTGAGCTGAGGCCCGAACTCCCCGAAACAACCTTCTCACGATTATCGGTCCGGTAGCTCAACCATTCGGCTACCGAAGCCACCGTAAGAAAGAGAAATAAGCCAAGAAAATGGAATCATCCGAAACATAAATACTGTTCTATTTTTCAAGTATTCAGAATTCTACCAAACCCAAACTAGCTTCTTTTGTGGAGGCAGTTTTAACACTGCGGAGCTTTGGAATTCAGCTGTTTACCAGAATGGACCCTCAGTTGATAGATTGACTGGTGTGGTCAAAGATCGTACATAACAAGTTAGTTCACTCCTCTCTTTGAGCCGATTAAAAAAGTACTCTCAAAATCCAGTCGCACCCCCTTCGAAAAAGCGCCACTTTGCGAACAGAGTTACCTTACTTGTGTGAAAAGCAATATAAGTCATAGGAAGTTGTTAGGGGACTGTTTCCTAGCGCTGCTTACTCGGGGATTGTGCAGTCCCCAGCCAAGCGCTGCTTAGATCTGACATGTCTGTCGTAATAAATCTTGAACGTGCATCCTCTTTAGCACATTACACCGTAAGCCCAGCATTATTGACTTTTTTCTCACTGTTACTAATGTTTTATGGCAAAACGCTATGAACAGGAAAAAAAACTGATTCCGATCGAGATGTCGATTTTTTAAAGATTTTAGTCTATAAACTGCTATTTCTCAATCATTTTCAATTCTGTTTTCAAAGATTTGAAGAATACTTTTTGATTTGAAGAATTCAGGATTCTACTTTAAGTAGTACCCTTGAACACATCTGATACTAAAACACATGATGTACTTCGGTCAAAATTATCAATTTTCAAATCTTCAGTGTTCAGTTTAAAACACATTACATGCACACTGGGTAGACTAATGTTACTGACCGGTTAAAAGAGCTAGCCATCTCATACTACAATTCTCTGATCGGCAGTAACAACAACTACAAGGCCACCTACATAGGCCTAGCACAGACTTGCTAACCCTGACAGTTGCTTTACTAATTTTCTCGTAGTTTTACCCCAAATCCAAGTCATTAAAAAAATATTTCCAGAAGAAAATTTGTTTTAAAGT